CATGCGGCCACATGATGAAGCTCAGCGCACTCGCGAGATGGGCGCAGGCCACACCGCGACGCATCCATCATCCACCAACGCCGCGCGCACGCAAGCTCGAAATACAGAGCGACGCAGCATTCCGAAAAAGGAACAGACGGAGGGCGCCGACGCAGGACGAGCCGTGCGAGGAGTCACCTTCTCGCGCATGGGCACCGGAGATACTGCTACTCACCGAGCGCTCGTTGGCAAGCAAGCGCGTCATGCGCTGGACTGGCAGTCTGGCGCGCTCACAGCAGTGACGCGAAGCACTTTCGCAAGCGAGCTTGCTGATGGCCGCGATCAGCGCAGCAGATCTCAGCCTCGCTCTGGTCACCGCGCCCCATGAGGCACCCAAAGGACTTCGCAGCCCTGGAGCAGCGCATCGCCAACGAGATGCAGGACGCTCACTACTGCCGCGCGTGCTCAGGCTCCGCGACCTCCTGAGCTCGGGCCAGCTATGGGCATTGAGCTGGGAAGACACCCGCGACGTAATCGCGGATGGATTGACCAAGGCCAGTATATCTAGATCTGCCTTCCACGACGTGGCTGGTGGCTTTCGCCAGCGGGCACATGCGCCGCGCGCAATCGCCCTCGCGCCGGCCGGCAAGCCCGCCGCGCCGTCAGGGCACGAGCGCCGGCCGATCTCCGACAGCTAATAGATTATCGTGCGTGCAGGAACTGAGTGCGCTGCATTATCCTCGGGACCGTCGGCCCTTCCTCGTCCCATCTCTTTCGGAAGGTCTGCCGCATGGCACAGGGTAGTTGAGATGTCGTTGCACGGCAGTCAGGAGTTCGGGAGGGCATGTCGGGAGTCTATGTTGCCGTGGTCAGCATTCGCCACGACATGAGTGCAGGCGAGCGCGTGCACAGACATAGTGGGCACAGAAATAGCAGGAGGATCAGGGAGAAGCACTTGCGATGCCGCTTTTTTCATCAGCAGGCTTGCGCGCTGCTGGGTAGAAGCGCGCTGAGCAGCCAGCTGTGGCCCGCGCGCCGCTGGGCCCGCGCGCGGGCCCCCGGCGCGCGCCGCCGCGCGCTGGCGGTTGCCCGCTGCCGCGGGCGCGCGTGTCACCGTGCCTCAGAGTAACCCGCCAGAGCCCCAGGGCCCGCCGCCGCCTCGCCGCTCGCGCTCCACCCGCAGCGGAAGTGGCGTCGTCGGAAGATGCGACGCTCGCAGTGACCGTGGATAGAGCTGCGCCGCGGGCTCGATCTCCGACGCCCCGTCCAGGAACCTGGGCGAGAGTCGGCGGCCCAACGGCACAGCGGGCGATGATCCGCCCTCTCGGCGCGCCTCCGATGACGCCGCGGCCAAGCTGGCCCAAAGTTCGCGAAGTGGAGCGCCCGGCGCAGCAGTCCAGCGAGAGACGGCGCGCGGTTTCAACGCCATCGGTTGCATAAGGCCACGCCCAGCCTCGAGGGCTGCCCAGTTCCCGCTCGCGCCCGCCATCTCCGCGCAGACGCCGCGCGGCGGCCATGTCTCACTTTCGGCTGATGCCCGCCAATAGGGCCCCAGCGCTCGCGCCGAGCCCGCCGAGCCACCTCCGCCAGGAGTACCAGCCGTGGCGCTCTCGGAGGGCTTTGATCCGTTCATCGAGCACGACGAGGGGATCACGCGTTTCGCGCGCGTTTGGCATCGTGCGGGCCCAGTGCCGGAACAGGCGCTCTGTCGCAGCTCGCTAAGCATCGACGGCGTGGATCCCGAGGTTCGCGCGGGATTCGCATTCGAAGCGCGGGGGGCCAATGGCGGGCAAATTGCGCGAGGCCCACGCATGCGAGCGCCCCGCCAGGCATCGCGAGCGCGATGTCCACGACGGAGCTCCACCATCTGTGGAATTCGTGGAGCCCTCGGCAGCGGGGCGAATGCAGGCGGTGCTGGGCGCTTACAAACGCGGGGTCATGGCCCTGATTCGGCCGGGATCCGCTGGGCGCGCTCGACGAGGCATTGCTCGGCGCGCCCTCGTCCGCGAGCAAACCGCCCGGCTGCAAACGGCCGGCGGCGCTGTCGCCGCGTGCGTCGCGCCCCCGTGGGCCTCCGCGCAAGCGCGCGCCGCGCGCTCCACCTAGTCGCCGCCTTTCCCTTGAGGGGCAGCCCCAGTCACCTTCTCGCGAGGCCGAGTGCGACGAGGCCAGCGCGGAGCGCGGTTCGAGCTGGAAGCCGACGTCGCCTCGCCCGTCGACTCCGCGCCCGGTCTGGACGAGGGCGGGGGCCGCGGCGCCCATCGGCCCCCGAAGGCGCGCCGCGGTGGTCGCTGGCAAGGGCAAGGGGAAGAGCAAGAACGCTAGCGAGCCGCGCTGGGCGACGCCATCGACCTTCCCCGGGAGATGGAATAATAATAATAAGAGTTGTAATACAAGTAATAAGAATAAGCATAATAATAAGACGAGTAAATAAGAAAAATAATAATAAGAAGAAGAAGGATAATAATACCCGCAGAGCTGGGGGGAAGGTCAAGCGCCAACGCGCCGGCGCGGCCGTTTGCGCGGCTAGCGCCGACGAGCCACGGCAGCCGCCCTCGCCCAAGGGCATCGCCGACCCTGGCGCGCCCGGCGAGGAGGTCGCCTACGGCGGTCGTGGTCGGAGCGGTTCCCGCGGATCGTGGCCGCGGTGAAGCTTCGAGGCGGTAGTGCGAAAATAGTGCGCGCGTCCCTCAAGGTCCATTTCCCTCCATCGCCTTGTCTTCACCTGCCAGGCCAAGGCATTACGCCTCCACCTCGCCACTCGCGCGGCCCCAGGGCCACCATCTTGCCCAGGTCCCAGGACAGGCTTTCAGACGCCACGTGCGCGGCCCGAGGTCACCAACAGCATGCAATACGGCACGTGATAGCTCGCGCCATCATCACTCCCGCGCGCGAGCTCCTCCAATGCCGCTCTGAGGAGCACGAGCGAGCTCGCCATTGCAGTGGGTGGGCCCGCGCCCTGACGAGCGCGCCCGTCAGTTCGGACAGCGACGTTTTTTTTTTTTTTGCCGAATCTAAAATGTGCTTGTGGTTGGACAGTTATGATTCCCTTCTTCCTTTGGTCTCTCTTCTCCGCCACAGCAGTTCGATCGCCCGCGCAATCCCGATTCAAAAAGGGGTGTCGCCGCTGTTTGGCCCAAGCGTCGACGCATATCTACTTCTTGCATGAAGAGTTAAAGCCCCGAATTTTACATTTTGGTGCCGCCATAGTTTTCTCGTACAGTTTCCAACCCCCGCAAGTCTAGTTCCTCCACCTCTTCCTCCTCCTCCTCCTCCTCCTCCTCAGCTTCCTCCTCCTCCTCGTCCTCCTCCTCCTCCTCCTCTTCCTCCTCCTCCTCTTTGAATGTGGTGACGTTTACTCGGCCGGCCCTTTTGGAACACTGCCGTTCTAGAGCTTCAAAGTCGTGCGAGCCCGGGTCCTGCGCGTTGCCAAAGGGCGACAGTGGCTCATCGATGGGGTCGGCTATAGCCCCCAGGATGCGGAAGCGGATCATCTCAAGTTTGTGACTGTTTAGCTAGTGTTTGTCGCATTGTTTTGAGGGGGGGCCGAGGAGGCGGCGGCAGATCGGACTTTCAAGGCCGTAGTTTTCTGTCCTGGTCGCCGTTCGTGTGTTGGTGCCGTCAATCAGTGGCCGGGCAAGAGGCCCCTGGAGGGCAAGGTGGAGTTTGCCAAAAAACGTCGCCATGTCAAAACATTCATTTGTATCGATGTATGTTTGTGCGCCTTTTGTGCCCTAGGGCTCTTCGAGGGCAAGGGCATGGGTCGATGTAGCAGGAAAGCCGCACTCTCCAGCATATTATTTGCAGAGTGGTGTTAGTTGTTTGGTCATAGTTCGAGTGGCAAACCAAACGAAGCTCTCTCGGAGCAACAGAGCGAAGGTATTACTCATTCGCGTTCGCGAACAAGTAGGGCGTTGAACTCACCTACGCAAGTCCCTGATACTTCGATTGTGTTCGAACTGCCGCGAGCAATGCGCAAGGTGAGGCGCGCAGCATCAAGTGTTCCACCCATGTGAGTTGTTTTGTTTGCGGGGCCGTTTCAGAAATCATGTTCATGATGCATGTGCTGTAGGAGTCCTGCAAGTGCAACAAGGCGCGATTGTGCCCGCTTATAACATATGTGTGTCGTTTGTTTTCCTGGTCGCCAATTGCCAACCTATATCGTTTATTGATCTTTGCTTGGTTTTGGTAAATTAATTTCGTCATTTGATCGTGCGATTATCATTTGGAAGGTTGGGTCGTGTGCGTGTGCGCCGAACAGAGCTTTCGGCATAGGATGGTGGGGGCTGGGTCGGGTGGGCGTGCACAATAAATAGTTTATGTTGCGTCGGATGGTGAGGGCTGTGTCGTACTGATGTGCGCCGAATACACGTTTTGGACACAGGATGGTGGGGATTGAGTCGTATGGTGGGAAGGAAGCTGTATTTGTTGCATAGAGTGTTCAGGGTTTGGTCGGATGGATGCGCACCGAATCATATGTGTGACACAAGATGTCGAGGGTTGGGTCGTACGGTGCTGGGGCGACAGCCACATGTTGACAATGGCGCGGCCTCCATCCTTGAAACGGCTGCGCGACTTTAAGACGAGTGCGCGCGGCGTTAATGCGATATCTGCAATCTGAAAAAGAGCCAGCCACCATCCTTGACGCTGTCACCGTATTTTGGAACGAGTGTGCGCGGCATTAAGACGAGAACCACATGTTGAAAGCCACCTGGGTTCCATCTTTGAAGCTTCTACCAAAACCAAGCTTCAGGATCATAATTGGCGATCGAACCTTCGGCGAAACGCCCGGCCCAGCCTACGGACACGCCCACTGGTGCGACAGGAAGGAGTTATCTATAAGGAAAAGGAATGGAGGAGGAGGGGGGTGAGAGGCGAAAGAGGAACAGGAGGAGGAAGAAGAGGGGGCAAGAGGGAGGAGGAACGAGGAGGGACGAGGAAGAGGAGGAGGAGGAGGAGGAGGAGGAGGAAGAGGAGGAGCAGGAGGAGGATGAGGACGAGGGCGATTCGAAGCCCGCTAGGACGACTGCAACCAGCTGGTGCAGAGCATGACCAACGTCTCGGGGCCCAGCGCGCAAGGTCTTGCTCCATCTGACACTGGCGTGGGCGCCGAGGGCATCAACGTACCAGAGCATTTTTGGGAAGAGGGGTAAGATGCGATGTGCAGTCCCGTCCCGTCCCAAGTCTCCACCTCATAAGTCCCCACAAGTATTCTTCTCCACTGTAGGAAGCGCCCAGCTTGAATGACGAGCGGCCGGTGGGCTTGCCGCTTAGGAGAGGCCCCGTTTTGTAAAGAAGAAGCGCAAATATTCTCGATGTGAAAGTTTTTGGGCGTGCCCAGCGGCAGCCCCGGTTAAAAAAAGACCTGCTTTCCATCTGGGCAAGGGTTTATCAGCTTATATCTCAAATCGGTTAATGAGCGGAAATACTCAGCGAGGGCACCATTCTTAAAAATGAGCTGCCCTCCATTCGAGAAGTTGTTGCACGAGTTGGAATTCCGGGTCATAGACTTTGAGGAAGTCTCCAGCGAGAGCCGCATTTTGACAATTAACCGGCCTTGTGCGTGGCGCTCATGCGAAAGCCCCATTTCGAAAACGACCGACCCCCGCACCCTTGCAAGTGCTGCAAATTTTGAAGACGAATGTGCGCATCATCGTCCGCGAGTGGTTGTGGTCAGTGTCCGCGAGTGCGTGGCGCGCACAGACCTCGTTTGTGGCCAAGAGGAGGAGGAGGAGGAGGAGGAGGAGGAGGAGGAGCAGGAGGAAGAGGACCTTTTCGTTGACCTCACGTCGCGGGGTCGACATAATATGTAGCGGCCTCGTCAGCCAGCCACCGGCCTTTGGACTCGATCCGAGGCATTGCCGATACCAAGTCGACCCCACCGAACCTTCCCCCAGGAGAGGGAGGAGGAGAAGCGGCGGAGACTACTTACTGCGCTGATGCACGAGTTTGGCTAAATCTCGGGGCTCGCCATGTAAAACAAACATGTCTAACATGCTTGTTTGGCAGATGATTGCGAATGAGGGCTAGCTTCTGTCATCGGCAATGCTCCCGATAAACATCATACGCAATTCGTCATCACGGGAGGTGTATATGCATGTTGTTCTATGCCAGCTCTTGGCGAAGCTTTAACAACGTGCAAAACGTGAGTAAACGGCCATACTGATACCGTGCGCATTTCTGTAAGTTGAGGACAGTCCCTTCTCAAGGTCGGGCATCGCTTTAAGAAGTACATCGGGATCTTTGGCCTTGAGCTCGTTGGGTGTGCAATTACATTCAAGTTGTGTTTCAACTGGGCGTGAAACAGCAGTGTCCATGGGATTAGAGAAGCACCTTGACATCCCGCCTTAGCCTTCCCGCGGGGCCCCCGCGAGCCTGGCCGGCCCAGAACTATCTGGAACCGGTGTGTCTACGATTTGGCATGCCAAGAAGCTGGCGGACAAGCATCTCTACAACTGGTACTCACTGGACCTGCGCACGCGTGGCTCACGGCTGCCTGGCGCTTCTGCTTTGACGCGCCGGCGCAAGAACAGCCACGCGCGTTTCATTGCCAATGCACCCTGGACCTGCACGGCTTGCTCTCTCTCTCTCTCTCTCTCTCTCTGTTGACATCCCTCGAAAAAGGGAGGGGAAGGGGGAGAAGGGAGAGGACAGAGGCGATGCGATGGCTCCACCCCGCTACGAGTGCTCCTCCGCTGACAGCTTGTGCACGTCCAGCGTCGCTGTCCTGCATTTTGCCACTCCCATTCGTGCAGTGTCTGGCCTCCTGTGTGCACGTGCCCGTGAGTAGCACGTTCCACGCCCGCGGTTGGGGCGGTTGGCCCAACTTATGTCGAGGGGTGTCGGAGAGGCTCGATATGTACACCACATCGTTTGGCTGGCCAAGGAGCAGAGGAATTCAGCGAAGGAATTCGGTGTACAGACTTTCCAGCGTCTCACAGGCTGGGCAGCAGGGGCGTCTATACACCGATCTACGTGGCCGACCAAACGACGTGGTGTAGACATACACCCCTCCCATAGTAAGTTGCTCTGAAGCCTGGGGCCCGAGCGCATCGATGAGGTAACCCCCGCTCCCCTGAATTCGTTCCGGCCCGACGCCCTCCAACCTCTTGTGAAAGGGGGGGAGGCATGAAAAGGAGGGGCAGGAGCACGAGTAGCTGGAGGAAAAATGAGAGGAGGAGGACGACGAGGCAGACGCGGAAGACCTTGCCCGGAGCTGGAGGAGGAAGGAGGAGGAGGAGGAAGAGGAAAAGGGAGAACAGAGTGAAAGAGCAGGAGGAGGCAGGAGGGGCAGCAGCAGGTGGACGGGCAGGATGAGGAGAGGAGGAAGAGGTGGATGAGCCAAGTCGTTCAGAGGCGGCGATCGATGCGACCAATGTCGCCGTGACACAAGAATACGAGCTCCGCTGGCGCGCGTTCGGGCGCCAAACCAAAACAGAAAGCAAACCGACTCGCGCGCGGGCGCCGCCCGCGCCCGCCGAGGCCATGAGCAGGATCCTCCTCGACGGCGCACATGGGCAGGCCAGTTGGCGGGCCGGTCGGCGGCGTGCGAGCGCGAAGGGTTGCGGCGACGTCGACGCTGTGGGGAGAAGACGACGTCGACGAGCCGAGGGCGACGAAGCGACGACGAACCAACGACGATGAAGCAACGACGACGAAGCGACAACGAAAACGACGAACCGACGCCGGCGAACGGACGACGAATCGACGACGAAACGATGACGAATAGACGACAATGAAGATGACGATGACGACGACGACGACGACGACGACGACCACGACGACCACGATGACGACGACCACGACGACCACGACGGCCACGACGACGACCACGAACTGACGACGGCGACGACGACAGCCGCGGTGGCCCTTCGGCCGGCCGGCCTGCGACAGCGCTCGCAGAGCGGCGACGTGCAGCGTCGTCGACGGCGTCGCTCTGGAGGTGGTTCAGGCCACGGGTGGGACTGGTCCCAAGGGAGGAGTCCGGCCCAGAGGATCGAAAGCCTCCAACATGATTGTTCGATCTCCATTCTGAATGTTGTTGTTTTTTAATGGAGATTCGACGTCCAAATTGTTTTTACTATTCTGCTGGGGGGGACCGTCATCGACCTGGTCGTTGTGGAGGACCTTTGCGGGTGCTTCTGGGGGCTCTCGTCGCCGCTGCTGGACGCGGCTCGAAAGACTGGCCAGAGTGGATCTCATGGAGGGGTAAGGGGACCATGGTCGACGTCGTCGTTGTCGAGGGCGTGTCTTTGCGGAGGCTCTTCGCGCACTGGAGGATCTGGACCAGCACAGGTATGGTTAATTTTGTTGGTCAGCGGGCGCGGACACACTCCAGACCGTCGAGCAAGAGTCGGGAGTGCGAATCGCGCCCATGCAGGACGAGTGGGCGGCCGCAAGGGGAGGTGAAATCAGGATAGGCCCTGGGGTAGGCTTCGAATCTCCGAGGCCACCGTCTTCTTCCACGGCCCCCCGCCAGGTGCCGCCTCTGGCCTGTTGCTTCCGCCCCGAGGGCGGCGCAGCGCGCGCCCGGGAGAATCGCAGTCGGCACTTGCGGCTCTGGGTGGTTACCCTACTCCTTGCTCGCTCGCCGTCTGGTGCATGGCATTCTCGCCCGCTCGCGCGCGCGCGATCTTTGATATGAGCATCCTTGCGCTGCAAGCTTGGGGTCTGGTTCAAAGAGGGCGCGTTTCGCCACCAGGCGGCTGTGGCCACAGACTGCGAAGTGGGGAAGCGCTGCTCGACACGGCCACCCCTCCGCAGGCCGCGGGGAACGCCGCCGTCCGCGAGGAGCGGCTGCGCCACATCGAGTGGCTCCGCGGCCAGCTGGAGCTGCAGCAGGAGAGCCCTGCGCGCGGCCCCGGGCAGGCTGCCCGCTGGGGCCCGCGGAGGCCCCCAGTGGCCTGCGCAGAGACCGCCGGGGTCCTCGAAAGGCCCTCGCACGAGGCCTCCGGAGGCCCTCGGAGGTCTTCGGAGGCCCACGGAGGCTCACGGAGGCCATCGGAGGCACTCGGAGGCCTCCAGAGGCTCTCGGAGACCTTCGGTCGGAGGCCTCACCAGGGCCTCCTTGCGGGGCTCCTGACAGCAGCCCCGCGCCGGGAGGGCCGAGTGTTCGAAGATCGAGGTCATCGGCATTGGCTGTCCTCGTCGCCTTCTTCTTGCCCCCTCACTCCTGGCAGAAAGCCTTCAGCATTTCATGCAGCAGCAGGGTTCCCATCTTGACGAGCTGTTGAGAATCACCAGTTTACCTGCCCCAGCCCGAGCCAAACGTATCTTCCAGTTGACCCTCAGACGGCTTGATGGGCTTAAGTGTTGCTGCTGTCATCGTCATCATCCTCAAGGTTATCGGGGTTTCTGGGCGTTCCATGGAGGGTTCCCCCAGAGGATCGCAAAGCTTCCATCCGGAGTTCGAAGCTTTGATTTTGGGGAGAGAATCACGGCTTCTAATTCATAACATCAGCATTTGGATGTTTCCGGGCCGTGGCCGCTTGAAAAAGGTGCCAAGCGGTCCCCGACCCCTCCAGGGATCAGATTTGAACGGATGTTGGACGAAGCCTTGTTGGCCTAATTAACCGCGGGGGCGCGAGGATAATCGCGTCTCGCGGCGCCCGCGGCGCAACGTGATCGCCTGTTCGAATTGCGATTTTACCGCGGGTGGCTGGAAGGCGACTGTGCCGAACACGGCTTCAGCAACGGTTGCCTTCAAGGTGAGCGTACCAAAGATTATGCCTCTCTCCCCAACCGGATCAGACGGATCAGTAATTTTCCAAGGGTACGCTTGCATCCTTGACTCTCGGCCCATCATCGCCCTTCGCCAAGGTCAATTGGTGTCCAACTTCGACCTTCATTTCGGCGTCCAAGGGCCTTGCATCCTTACCTCGCATCCTTACGATCCCGTCGCGCTGTAACTCAGATCGTGCTGCTGTGTGTGAACACCATTATGGGCAAGGATTGCGGCTGGCGTTGAGGTGAGATCAACGTTTCGAAGGTCGGAAAAGCGTTTCGACCGTAAGAACACATTCTCCATCACCACGGGGACATCTTGCACAATGCCCAGGGGGCCCAGGACCCTTGACACTCGGATCGCCCACTGGTTGAGGGGAAACTGTCAGGAAGCTGGATACACATGAGGTGGCCGGCCTGTGTGAGAACTGGATACACATGTGGTTGCGCTCCTTTCTAGTTCTCGGCTATCGTGTGGCTAGGTGCGCCAGCCCTTAGCATGTGTATTCACCGCTCGGCCTCCGCATGTTCCGCACGCGAACCTAGGTGCGTGTATTTTCAGCTTCCTGCTGGCGCTTCAACTTGCGTAATCTGTTGTAGAGGGAAGGCGATGGGAGGACAGGACAAGGACCTGACTCGGCCCTTGGCATTGGCTTGGTGGGGGTGCAGCAAGGCCGAGGTATGGGCTCCCAGGCCCAAGGTATGACACGTCAGGTCTAGAGCCCAGCTCCAGGGCTCTAGACATCATTATTCGGTGCTCCTTAGGCTCTCCAGGCCCGCAAAATCGTCTTTAAGCGCACACCGTTCAAACAATTCATGACATGTCAAATGAACTCGTGACGAACCAATTTACAGCGCGAGTGGAACAAACGTTCGCGCACTCTTCGGGAGCTAAGAACACATCGCGCGGGATAACAAGAAACGAACGCGGTCACAGGAAACCGATCGCGCGCTCTTCGCATGGCCGGTAAAACCATTAGCGCCAGGCTTGATCAATTCAAAAGCAATCGTGCCTGGTATGTTTCAAATATTGATGTCCTGGGTTCGTAAGCCAACCATTTTGTCAAACCTCTCGACCGATGCGCCAATATGCTGTCTACGAGATGGCAGATGACGTATGGTCTGGGTCGGTGGTGGCCTTCGCCGAAGCTGGGACCAGTTTTTATTTTCCAGGAGGCACCGGTGCACACTTCTTAGTACAATCGGATCGGTAGCTTGAGTTCCCTGTGGTCTTCGTGGGAAGGACGGCGAAGTGCAATCGAGGCGCACATATCTGGTCGTTCCAGCCAGGCTCCATGAAACTTGGCGAGACGGCAGGGGTATTTTCACCTGGTTGAGCGTAAGTATGGGTCATCGTCGGTCGGAGGTGTTGCCCAAATTCTTAGCGCAGCTTGTGTTGCTCCTGGGAGAGTCGGAGTGGCTGCACCTGTTTCGAAGGCAACGCTTTGCACAGCAGCCACGTATTCCAGAGGGAGAGAGAGAGAGAGAGAGTGCCGTTCGGCTTGCCTCACACGGGGCAGCCATGTCAATGAAACAGCCAGGGACCCCACCCAACCATGTCAGGACGAGCTAAGCAACGAGGCCCAATCGTTTTGAACGAGGATTGAGCGCGTCGTTCCCCTCAGAGGGGAACTCACACAGTATGTCGTTTGAGAGCAGGCCTGATGCGATCGGGCCTCAATGTTTGAGGTTCGAATGTTCTTTGTCAGTTGTAAACGCGCTTGTAACCTCGCCGAGTGAGCGCACCTCACACATCAATGGCTAAGACCCTACACCAAAAATTGCCGAGCATGTTTTCGAGCATGTGCGCATCACTCGCGCTGCAATCAGCAGCTATGGTTATGGCCCCGACCTTCGTAGCAAACTCTGGCGATCGCGTGCCTCGGGGAAGAACTCGAGCGAACGAGCACAGACTCGCAAACTTCGTTCTTGTTTTGCAGAGTCCATAGCTGGTGTTTGCGTCAGGGTCTGAACCATATGATGTTGCATTGCTCATACGACATGTCTGATATGATACCACCATTGTGCATACCGCGTAGTTGATTCGGTGTGCCATGAGGGAGTCGGCTTTTCTTCGGGTGCCCTGCGGTGAACAGTGCCTCCCGAGCGAGATGGCAGTTCAAGCTCTCTGCACCAGGCGTGAAGCGGGACGACAATGAGGAGCCAGAGGCAAATGAGAATGCGAAGGGAGGTGTGGGAGGAGTTGGAGGAGGAGCAGCATGAGGAGAGCAGCAGAGCAAGAGGAAGAGGAGAGGCGAGAGAGGACTGAGGGAGCAAGTGGCGGACTCAAGGGAAGCTGGACTCGGGAAGGGTGATGCGCGTGCGCGCTGGCACCTGGCAGGTGATGCCGGCCCGTCTTCACCATCTTCTGAGTGCTGGAGTCACGTTCTGCGGAAAACCGGCTTCACTCTGCGAGTGCCAGAAGCCTCGACCCTCCCTTCTGGGGGTGCAGCTCTTCTGCCCTGGTCAGTGCATGACGGCCCGGGGGCCTGGAAACGGCCCGGGAGCCTGAGATCGAGGAGAAGCGCCAGGATTGAACACACAGCATCGGTCGGAGGTTTGGGTTTGCCTCCCCGAAAGCCGTCGACGACGAGAGCTGTATCGCCGCGCTCGCGCTGAGACTTTTTGACCCCTAGCGCCCGGCAAGGAGCAGAGCATGCGCAAGATCTCGCACATGTTCGACCACAGGCGACATGCTGCCAGCTTGCTGGCTTCGGTTTCCCCGATGCAAAACGGCCCTCTTCCTCCCCCTCCTAATCCTCCCCTCGTCCCCCGCCTCCTCCTTCTCTCGCTCCCCTGCCTCCCTCCCTGCCTCTGGAATCAGCGGCAACGCATGGCCCCATGGCCAGAGCAGTCCAGCGTTACCACCCCGCGCGCCGCGGGGCCCCTCGGACCCCACCGGCGCGCCCGAAGTCCGGATCCGGGGCGCCCGCGCCGCCAGTGCGCCCGAAGCCCGGTTCATTCCCTATCCATCCCGAGTTTTTCCGTTCCATCCGAAAGAGAGGTCCGATGCCCCAGGGTCTTACAGGGAGGTTCGCTGTGGAGGTCCGCGGGTTTTCGGCCCTCCTGGGTGGGGGGCCCGAGAGAGCCCAGGCGCGGCTGCCGTCGCCTGGACGCCAGCAGCCTTGTGCTATGCCGCAGGTATCAGTATCTGTCTACCCTTCGGCCCGTATTCATTGTGTGGCTCTCGCTCTAGCGCCGCGCGCATTCTTTTCAAAGGCGTGCAACAGCTTCAAGGATGGAGGGCAAGTGGTTTTCGAAATGTGGCTCTTGCTCTGGTGCCCCAGACATTCGTCTTAAGAGTTCGCAGCAGCTTCAAGGATGGAGGGCGGTTGCTTTCAAATTGTGGCCCTCGCAGTAGCGCCGCGCACATTCGTCTTAAACAGTTAAAGCAGTTCCAAGGGTTCGTATGGTTGAAGTCCAAGGAATGGCGTTCTGGCACGTTTTGGAAATGTCAGGACGCAACGGTCACGTTGGTTCGTGGTGTTGAGATCCCACGAATGGTCTTCTGGCACGATTTACGGCTGTCGTGATGTAACGGTCACGTCGATTCGCGGCGCGTAAGCGCCAGAAAGTTGTTTTGGCACGACTAAGGATTCTCAGACTGTTGTTTTAAAATGGAGCAATTCCCGCGATTCATTTTTGTAGTGACCTTCAGGAGGAAATTTGGAGGTAGGGTTTATTGCAACATTTTTGATGCGTCTTGGGTTTGCACTGGTCCTCCTCCTCCGCCTCCTTCTCCTCCTCCCCCTGCCTTTCACTTGTTTCTCCTCGTCCTCCTCGCCCTCCTCGCCCCGTCTCCGCTGGCAGGCAGGGGTTGCCGCCCAGAGCCTCCCGAGGGCCTCCATGGGCCTCCTCAGGGCCGCCGTGGTTGCCGCCCGCCGAGGGCGCCCGCCCCCCTCCCTCCCGGCCGCCAGGGCGTCCGCGGCCGCGCCTGCAAGCCCGCCGGCCGCCGCCGCGGCGGCCCCGAGCCGCCGCAGCCCGCTCGCGGCGCAGGCCCCGCTCGGGACCCCACCCCTCCTCCTCCATCCCCCTCCCCGCCTCCTCCTCCTCCTCCCCTTCCCGCTCCCCCTCCTCCTCCTCTTCCTCCTCCTCCGTTGCCGTCCTGGCCCGAGTTTGAAGGACACGTGGGCCGGCACGCGATGAGGAAACCCGGGGAGCTCGGATCGCGTGCGCTCCCCCTGGTCCCATGCGGGCTCAGCTCGACAATCTCATCGGCCAATTCCCCATGGACGAGGCCGGGTTTTTTCAGGCAATGCCGAAGCAGACCTCCTTCTTCTTCATCGCTGGAGGGAGCTGCAGCGTGAGGCAGAAGGCTCCTTGACTCGCAGCGTGCCGTAGGCCTGGCGAACAGCCAAGTGGCCTCATGGTGCGCAGATGTCTTGCGATGGCCGAGGGAGTTGGGCCGTTGGGAAACAGTGCACAGCGCAGAGCTACAAGTGTCACACTCGACCAGGGGCTCTCCCATTCGAGTGGGACTTGCATCTCCTAGTGCTAACGGCTGCCTTTCTATAGACGGGCGCTCGGTCAGGAGGCAGGTGTCCACGGACGAAAAGGTGGGTATCCTCCGTGCGATGTCACAGCTGGACCTAGCATGATTGGGCCGTCCAGGAGCACGGTCTTCTGCCAATCATAAGTTGCATTTCCCAGGCTTCAATTTTGAAGCACGTGGGGGTCTTTCCTACGGGAGTGTTGCGATTTTCTGGAATTCGACGAGGCTCCGAGGAGGTGAGCTTCTCAGTGAGATAGGCCCGGACAGGCGCCTGTCGATCAAGGTCCCAGTGAGAGGAGGGAAGCCGTGACTCCTCTGTACGGTCTACCTCCCGCCTCTCCCGAAGACGGGCCCAGATGAATTTTATTCCCGAGAGCTCTCGGGAAACGGGGCGGATCTGGCGGACGTGGTGGGAGGCCTCCCGGTCCTTCCAGACGCTCCCGTCGTCGTCGTGGGGGACATCAGTGTCCAGCCAAAGGAGGTCGATGGGGCAGTGACCCCTCCCCCAATCGCTCACGGGCGTGGAGCAGATTCGTCCTCGATTGGGGCCTGAACCATATGAACCCGCAAGTGGGCAATGAGGTCCAGGTCTCAGTCTTATTCCCACTTCGTGGGCGCACTGTCCAACTCCGCCCGGGGGGCACCCGTCGCGGAGCAGGGCAATCACGCCGCCTGGGCATCATCGTTGCATCGGAGGCGGCTTCAGGAAGGGCCGCAGTCCACAATGGCATTTACTGCTGCGCTTCGGAGCCTTGCTGCTGGGCGGCATGCGTGGATCATACCATGGGCGATCATTTCCTCGTGGAGATGAATCCCCCGCAAGAAAGCCAGGAGATAGGAGCGGGACTGGGCATGCTGCGCATGCCGCGGTGGTGGCTCGACGAAGCCTCTTGGACAGAGGGCCTCTGCTATGTTCAGCCTGCTTGAGAAATTATGGGGAAATTTCTCGCCTCGTGGCGCGGAGGCACCGCGGGGGCGGAGTGGGCGCGAGCCGCGCCGAAAGGAGCGGCGCGCTGGATCGCGGATGCGGTCGCGTGGCTCTTGCCATTCGTCTTTGGCGTCGTCATAGCAGGGTGGGTAGTTCCACGAGCCCTGGCTGGCGCGAGGGAGCGCGCGCGTCCGTCTGACTCGATGCAGGGCCACCTGCAGGTCAAAGCAGCCCTGTCCAGGAGAGGTTCAGCACAGGAGCGCCTGGCCATCTGCATGCGGATTCTCGAGCCGCCGGAAAAAAGGCCTTCTCCGGTGCTGCGGGGCGCAGATGGGTTATTTTCTCTCTCCTGAAGCTTCGGGGGAAGCCTGTCGCATTCAATTCAGGACGCAAGGGGAGTGGCCAGGCCAGTGGGATCCAGCAGCGCGCGAAGCCGACACCAAGCGTTTGCTGGAGTTGGCGCGCCGGTCTTGGGCAGCGAGAGGCCGGGGAGAACGCGGCGCGCTAGTCGCGGAGGGGGAAGTGCGATCTGCGGTCTTCAGCTGGGTCGAACAGATGCCGCGACGCCGGATCTTCTTCTGCGGGTGGTTCTTCAGCTTGGTCTTCCTTGCCTGCATCGAGTCGTCCTGTTAGTTCTTCGCCTTGCGGGTCCAGGGGCCTGGCAGTCAGGCCAGCGGCATGGCGCGGAAGCTGCGCCGCGCCCCTCAAGAGGACGGCCATTTGGATAATGGTGAGTCTTTTTAGAGTCATCATGGTTCGGGCGCAGCTGGACCTCCTACAGGAGACGTTGCCGCTGCAGAGGGCTCGCCCGACGACGCGGTTTTCTGCGCGGCCGGGCCAAAGCGGATACATCCGCGATGTAGGAGATGCCCACCTGTTATTGCGCGAATCGGCAGCGGAAGCATCTGCCCAAAGACGGCCTCTCTGGCCGGCCTTTGGGGACCTTCAGAAGGCCTTTCCCCGAGCTTGGCGCGAATGGCTTCTGGTGGGCCTCGAATAGCAGGCAGGGGAGGGGCCTTCGCCATCCTCGCGAGTACTTTTGAGGAGGACAGGGCCCGCGTGAACATCAACGGAGTTTCGGCGGTCGCGCAGATTCTTCGCGGGGCCCTGGAGGGAGGAGCGGCCGGCCCGATTTCTTCCTGCTTGCATGGGTGCACTTGCACATTCTCTCTTGGAAGCAGGGCGCGGAGTCGGGATCGGCGCGGCCAGCGCATGGGCGCAGTGCTCGTGGCGAGGGAATGGCATGCCGGATGAATCCCGCGCAGGGGGGCCGTAGAAGGCAATGCGCTCCGGCCCCCTGCTTACTGGCCCTTCTGCCCTCGGGGCTGACAGAGACCTCGAAGCCTCGGCGGCTTCTGCCCTGGATCTCATTGCGCCCAGGCACCTCGCCGCGGCCCTACACGCGGACGACCCCGTGGTTCCAGCATCCTCCCAGGGCGCCGCCCAGCGTGCGCGCTCGGCAGGCGCTTGCGGATTGGGCTTTCGCGAGAGGGTATCGCCTCGCGCGAAAGCTGCCAAGCACGCCGCGATCGCCCACGGCGCGGGGCATGCGAGAGCTGCCGCGGCCGCGGCCGCTCCTCCGAGCCTGCCGCTGCAGGGGCCAGCGCCCGCGCCGATGCAGCTCTCCTCTCCGACCTCGCGCCGGAGCGCGCGCTGTCGGCGCGCCTGGGGGCAGCGGCAGCGCAGGTTGCAGAATTCGCCAGGCCTGTTAGCGGCGGGCGCCTCCCCTTGGCAGCAGCTGCCGGCGCGCTCGAGGGGGGGGCGGGCCCCCCCTTCGTCGTTTCGGGCGCTGGCTGTGCGCGGCGGCAGCAGGTGCCCACCAGACGCTCGATGACGCATATATGAGTCATGGCGAGGGCGCTGCTCGGCAGCCCCTCCTGGCGCCCTGCTGCCCCCGCCTGCGCGGAGCTGGGCTGGGTGCTCTCCGGTTCGTGCGGGGCAGTCCTTGACGCCGACGTTCAGTGCTGCGGCTCCTCCCCGACGATGACATTTGCAAAGTAGTCTTAGTCAGAAGACAGGCGGCCGCGGGCGATGCGTGGGCAAGGCCTTCCGAGGCTCTTCTCGACCCCCGGGGTCTGCCAGATTGGCTGGGGCGGCGCGCGTCGACAGGGGCAGGCGCCCAGGCGCAGAGCGAGGAGTGCGTCCGGTCGCTGGCGCAGGCTCACTATCGCAGGAGGCTTCACAGAGCCTGCAAGATCACGCGCGGCCTTTCCCTGTGTCTTGCTGGGCTCCGCCCCGCGACACGTGGGGCCAGCGTCCTCTGTCGCGGCTTCGGCGCCGCCTCATCCTGGTCACTCACGCGCAGGGGCGCAAGTCGTGGGCCATGGAACAATGTTGCATCCTCTGCCAGCGTGCCGCCCACAGCCCGACCGCCCACGTCGCGGGCGCCTGCGGGGTCGCACAACAGTTGCGCGCTGCCTTCTGGCAGGCCCGAGGGCGAGCGCGGCCCGAATCTGGGGGGGAATGCGCCCGCGCCCTGCTGAGCACGTCGCCAGGGGGCGCAGGCTTCTCCGAGGCATCGTTGCTCGGGGATTTTCTGGGGCAAGAGGCGACCCCCCTCGGGAAAGATTGCACCCCCCCTCAAGGTCCGCCCCCCCCCCCCCGACCGGCTAGCCTCGCGCCCGCGTCGCGCGTCGGCGCAGGATGGGGCCGAGACCGGGCGAGGATCCTTGCCGGAGGGCCGCCGATGCCCCCTCCCCAGGAAGACCCGAATCTAGCGTTCGCCTTCCGGCTTTGGGCGCGGCGCCTCCCTGGAGGGAGCCCGTGAGCTGAGGTTTGGGCGCGGCGGCGCGCGGGCCCTCGCACCCCCCCCTCTCTCCCCCATGGGCCGCTTCCCGAGAGTGGTCTCATCCATCCATGAGCTGACGGAGCGGGGTTGCTGTCGGTCGCCAGTTGGGCCCCGCAGATTTCCACCGAAGCGGCCGAGTCCGCAGCCCCAACGCGCCGCCTCGCTGCGAGGTCACCACCAACCAACCAACCAGCCAACAACCCCTCCCCCTCCTCCTCTCCCCCACCTCCTCCTCCTCCTCCTCCTCCTCCTCCTCCCCCGTAGCCATTCTGGCTCAAGCCATTTTGGCTCAAGTCAGCTGGACAGGTCAGCCTTTGGGGGCTCGTCAGCGCGGCCCGCGACACAGGTGCTGGTCGAGCCCCCCTTTCGTGCGCTTCCATATCCCAGTCCTCACCGAGAGGCTTCCATATTCTCAGTCACGACGCCTCATATGCGATCACGACATTTTTTCTTTTTTGCATGGATTCGGACGATTCTGATACTTGCCGTGAAGGACACCAGAGAAGGGGTTCCAACAGCCGCAGTGGAGGAGAACATCAGCCTCGCCAGCGCAACCGCCGACCTCGTGGAGCTGCTGAACCCTCTCTGGCAGAACGTGGTGGCCGCCGACGACCTCGCGAAGAGCCTCCACGAGAAGTCAGACGTGATCGCCCCCTGTCTGCGCCTAACGGCCTGGCTGCAGCTCCCCAGTGGGCGGGCCAGCAGGGCGGCGCCTCACCAAGAGATGCTCTCCAATCTCGTGACCCGTGGGCGGACGCAGGGCCTGGTCGTCTCACTTCTCAGGACGT